TCCAAATTCTTAAAATCCTGTAACACTGAGAATGGCAATAAGAAGGAAAGGTGAGAATAATAATTCCCAAAAAAACAAAAATACTCAGGTAAGAGGAACAGAGAGACATTGGTATAGAGAGGAGGACAAAGATGAGATAGAAGAGGAAGGCAGAGGTGGCGAGATTACAGAGGTACATGTGAGAGGAGAGCAGAGGAAGAAAGAGCGGATGGGTGCAAAGTGAAAATGCTGAGTCAATGCGACCAAGAACATGTGCTGCTGCTTTGTTATTAGATACAGAGACACAAAGTACTAAACACTTAATCCAACAAAAAGCCAAAAGAGGTGAGCAAAGGGTCCTTGGTATTTTTCCACTTCCACTGACACTGCTTACACACACACACACACCAAACAGACCTCCCAGCTCGTCCATATTGTCTGGGGGTTAACAAATGCTCTGAAATGGCCTGACCGTGCTCGTTCAGGGACAGCAGCCCAGCTGTCTGCAGCAGCAGGCCCTCTCTAGTCAACAATAACTATGAATTATGAGAAGAATGAGCAAAAGAACACTTCTGTCCCATAATGGCTGGCGGTACAGTCTTCTTAAATCCACAGCCACTGAAGCCGTTCCACTTGCAAATTCAATTACGGGAATGATTCATCCTTCCATTATGATAACTGTCAGATTTTCTTGTGTCATACAATAAGGCAGAAGGGGAAAAACAAATGATTCGCCAGCCCCCCCACCGACACCCTTCTCCTCTACTTCATCCTTCACCACCCCCCACCCTACCCTCAAGCTGCTTTTCTCCATCTGAGTCCCTTTTGTCTTTCGCCGCATCCCTCTCTTCCTCCACTCCTCCCTTGCTATCGCTCATCCTGCTTCCTCTGCTCTTACTCTCCATTCGTCCTCTCCTCATCTGCCCGGGGGTTTGAGGCGAGATAGCGTTCCCTCGTTTTCTGATTTTCTCCATATCTCCCCCCTCCCTTCCTCTATCCCACTCTGGCAATGCCTCCCCCTTCTTCCTCACGCTCTCTGTAGATAATTAAGATCTCTGATTTTACGGTTTTCTCTTTCATAATAGGCACTGCAGACACTATAAGCAAGCCGCCAAGTCTCCAGCACACACAGACACACACACTCATACACGCAAACAAAACACCAGGCACACACAAATATGCATATGCCTTCATACACGCGCTAAGATGAATGCATGCACCAAACAGCTAAATCTCCAACTGGGATGAATGTCCCCTCTCTCACTCTCCATTCTCTCTGTCTCTCTCTCTCTCTTTTATACTCTCTCCTGTAAACACACAGACACATGCACACACACACACAGAGTGAGCCAGGATATTTATGTATTTTCGCTTTTGTGTATTTCTCTGTGGTGCCAGCACGCGGGGTGACTTACAGCAGGGTGCAGAATGAAAGCAAGCGAGGGGGGCTAGAAGCAGTGTTTTCTGTACAGCTCAGGCTAGTCTGGCTCTGCTCGGGCCTCTCGCTGCTCCAGCTCCCTGCAGACTGACACCCGACTGCTACGGGGACTCAGCCATGTACTATACAGCAGCAGAGCACGTACAGCAGCCAGACACACAGTCCTCGCAGATTAAACACGGAAATAGTATCTCACTGTTTGCTCTCTCTTTCTCTCTGACTGTATCTGTTGCCCTGACTCCCTCCACCTTTTACTACAACATTATATAGCTGGTTGCTTTCTTTCACTCTCCTGCAGTGGTGGAAGGAGTAAAAACATGAAAAAAAACATTAGTACAGTACTCATTATGCAAAATGGCTTCTTCAAGGGAGTTATATTTTAACAATTGTTTTTTTTAAGAGAGACACCATTAGACATTAACAATCAGGTAACCACTCAGCACATCTAAAGTCGAACCACCAACAATCAGACGATTAATAGAATTAATATAAACAATTACAAATCGTTGTAAAAAAGCATTGAATAGTAAAGCTTTTAAATCTCAAAGGGCAATAACAGAATCTAGCTTGAGGGCAGTTTGCAGCTCATTCCTTTCAAATGGTGCATTTAGGTTAGTAAGTACTGCACGTATGGGATATCTAAATTTAAGTTGGATCATGTACTGTTGTTACAAGACTTAAATGGGTTTGGAAGCTTTAGCAGTAGAGCTTTAGAGACGAACATCATGAGACGTATATTCCTTTTTGTTTATAGGAAGTTCAAATTTGTCATAGAGAGAGCAGAGATGAGTGCTAAATGTGTCATTAGTGATAAAGTGTAACACACGGTGATGACCAGGGTTTAACTTCTGAAGTGATAATGGGGAAGTGTGACAGTACAGAATGTCCCCAATGTATTTTATTATATATATACTGAATTATAATTATTGTAATTATTATATAACATACCAGCAGAATTTTATGTTTTCAATGTTGCAGCTAGGAGGAGGAGGAAGATTCATTGACTTAATGTACTATTGGGAGCTTAAATCTATACAGTGCATCAGTATTTCTATGTTGATCATATATTTTTAAGGTGAATCTTTATTCTGCAAAGTAACTGTCATCGTCAAAAAATGTGGTTGCAAAATAAACCTAATATCTATAAACTTGAGCTACAGCAAATGTATTTTGTTACTTTCCACCACTGCTCTGCTGTCCCTTTCTATCCTGCTCTGCATCTCTCTTTCTGCAGAAACACTTTCCAATCTCTTCTCTCTGTATTCAATTTTGTTCTTTTATTCCCCCATCGTCCCTAGCCCATTCCCTCTGCTTCTTTTTTTCTCCCATTCTGCTTACTTCTATCACAGCTTTCCATCTCCTTCCTCCCTCCCACCTTCTCCTTCTCCTTGGAGTATAGATGCTGTAATCTTCCCTGTCTAATGCTGTCAATAGCTCTCAATAACAATGAAATAGCACCGGTTCCTTCCCATCATTGATGAAGGCATAGCCTCAGTTAGGATCTTATTCGTCATCATGGCAATCTGCTTCTTGGTAATAGCCAATCAGATGGCTCTGTGAAATGCAGCGCTCCCATGATAGGTTCCCCATTGTTTTGATTGACCGCACCTGAGGGCCCACCACTTCAGCTGGACTCGATCAATATGCCATCACACTCACACAAGGTAGGCACATGCCCATACATGTCCTGGAACAGACACAGAGGTGTGGACGCCTTACACACACTTTGGTGAAGAGTAAATTGAGAAAGAGACCACTGGTGTGGGGAGGAAACAGAATACAGTAGTAACCAGCAAAATGGAGTACTGTGCAGCATAACACACAGCTATGTGTCAGCAGTGTGGCGTAGTGATCTCACTGTGTGGTCAGAATAGTCAGCTGTTGCCTAACTGTCTCTGATGTACATGTACAGCAATATGACAACATCATAGATCTTTTTGATGCAGTTATTATGTATTGGCACCTTTAATGTACCGTACTGTGTTTAAACAAGAAAGATTTATTGATAACACTGAGCAGGAAAAAAAAATACTCCCACTGTGTGCCTGTTATTCTATGTTGTGTCACACATACAGATGGCCTCACATAAGCCCTGCCTCTGCTTCACTTTGAGCTGCGGTAACCATAATGAGAGCAACACAGCCATCTGCACAGTATGGCGCATGCAATTAGTATTGCAAACATGTTCGCGCACACCCTTGCCCACCCTTTGACACAACAAACCTGAGAATGAGAGACATGTAAAGCTTGAAAGAAAGGGAGGTAAATAATTGCATAGAGACCAAATAAAAAAAAAGGAGAAAAAGGGATGTATGGTTCATTCATGAGACGTGAAAAGGGATTCAAAACACTGGGTTGCAGATTTT